TTTTAATTCCTTCGATGTTCTTGTACTGTGTCAACTAAACCTTGAGTTCTGTCAGCGACAGAACACAGTTTAAAGAGCAAAAGAGTTTCTTGGAAAAGTGTTTTATAGCAGGCGAATATAGCCGAGTGACATTTCAATTATTCCTATTTTCGTAGCAGGAGTTTTAGACTACTTCGAACTTGCTATTGGCCGTTACTAAAGTAAACAGAGATGTGATGCTAAAATGTTGGCACATGTATTTAGCAAATATATGTTGTTTGTACTGAATATAGCAGTCGTCGGTTTTTTTTTTTTTAATTTATATCAGAGAGTGAAAAATCACGAGTTGATAAAGCCCATTCACCCACGCACACATGGAAATTACCACGCGCTACAAACGCGTGGCATGGCTAGTGTGTCCTTTAACTGCTCGTGCGGACTTTAGACACGCGCACACGCGCGAAATTTAATAAATATCTAATCACAATTTTGCCATGGTTACATAAAATAGTTAACCTTGTCTTCCAAACCGATTAGAGGGGAAAAAATTGATTGTCTGTGGTATTGAATTACAGAATGAATCAGATTTTCTCATATAGAATGCGAAAATTAAAACCGACATCAGAGAATTTAGCTAAATTTTTTTTCATTTTATCCGAGGTCAATACATTTTGCGCAAACAAAAAGGACTATTTTGTCTCCGAAAGCAATCAATTTTCTAACAGCCATAGAACGTAATTACCCATCTATTTTTAACAAATTTGTTCTAATGTAGAAGGACACCTCAAAACGCCCGCAGGCTTTTAAAGCTTTAATCATTTTTCCGTAGAGGGCTGATTTGCGCGCTGAACAGGAAACTTTCACCGGCTCCTTAAATACAAACAAAAAGGATACAAATTAATTTTCTCAAATTACCTAATTAAATAAATGTTCTTTGATAGTTTAAATGGCCCTCAAAGATGCAAATTTGATTCCTTTTCAAATTAGACAAAAGCAGTTTTTAAAAGAAGTTTTTTTGAAGCTTTCCGAAAGGATGCGAGCAAAACATACTGTTTGGAATAATCAAGCCGAACCGACAAGTTTCAATAGGTTTTTTTGGCACTTAGGTTCATTTCCGATTAGGCATCATTCTATAATTAAAATCTTGAATTTTCATAAGCGGTTTCAAGTAGAAAACGAATCTATTTGCCAAAGGGGAATAGTTGTTTTACCGGAAATTAATATGTTCACATTTATTCGTCTTCTTTTGCGAATTAGGAACCGATTCACCTGCCTTTTTGGCTTGTTTGTCGTTCATAACCGATTCATTTATTTCGTATGAAACTTTCACGCTAACGATGTTAACGTGTAATTTATCTTACTCATTTTGCCCGTTACACGATGGATTCCTGATTGATCACAAAGAAACAGGAATCTTTTGTAACAGCAGACGAAAGATAAATCGAAAATGACTTTTGTTTGCGTAAAATAATAGCACACGCCCATCGCGAATGTTGAAGTAAAAAGACTGTACACACGACCAAATGTTTCAGGCGAGTGAAAGGGTAAATCACCTAGGATATAACAACAAAAACGTATAAAAGTCGAAGGTAAGAATCTCCAAAACGATGCAAAGTTGTGGATGGTTTTTGCTAAGTTGGTTGATTTGTATTTTTTAAAAGTGTGTTTTTATCCATCGAAAACATCTTCTCTTGTTTAGTTTCTGTTAAAAATTGTGCCATGAGTACTCACAAAAAATATTGGTTATTTTGGCGCACTGAGAATATAGAGCATATTACCAGAGAAATATAGGCACAGTCGGGATGAGAATTGAAATTATGGGGAAGTCGAAATGGAGTGTCAGATAACTAATGGTTTGCGTAATTGAATATTATTGAAATAAAAGACGATTCACTCTAAAAGTCTGTGTAGTGTGATGCGCAAGTCGGCATTAAGGTTTTGTTAAATTGGAGAAGCGAATTACGCTTTAAAAAGGTGAAAATTTGATCTTGAAGGAGAAGTGACAATTCCGAGATATTTTGTGCCTGTCAATGCAAACGTACTAATTATAAGCCCTTTTTTTTTTTTTAGCAAAATACGGAAAATTACAAAAACTTCTATAATTAAATATTGCGACTTTTCAGTCCTTCTACCGGTGGGGCCCGTGAGTAATTACTGGAGCCCTTAGTCGTGACAGAAAGGTTAGAAGGAGCTTTCAAAACATCCAAAACTGTTTCCAAATTAATATCAATATTAAAACATCTCGATGTTACATACGATACCTACAGGGAAATATAATGACATCAAGCTGGGTTCAAACGGGCTACGATGAGTTTTTAATATTCACCGTCATCTTCCCTCATCATGAATTGACATTTAAAAGCCATTTTTCCCCGAGAAAGAATTTTTTTCCATTGCAAAGGATAAGTTTTGGAGATTAACCCATTAAAAAGAAAAAAAAAAGGATTATTGTTGAAGAAAGAAGCAAAGAAAATAAAAGCAAAAAAGAAAGCGTGATGCTTAGGGCTGTTTCGTGCAAATGCATCTACTCTCCGTTTTCGTTTTTGCAAATGAACTTTAAATTAATGACTTGAAGTTTGACAGGGGAATGGGGCAGGTGCTAGTATTTTTCTTTACCAAAGTATTGAGCTTGAAATATAGCCTCGTTTAAGGCCAACTTGGGAAGCCATATCAGGGGTAATTATCCATTAAAAAGATACAATCTACACGGGCGGGTTTTACATAATTTGCTTTCTCCTAATAGCCGGCGGATACGACAAAGGCAGAAAAAAAATCGCCAAGCCCATGCAAGGAAATAACCAGCTTTGCCCTCAATTTACTAACCGGAATGTAAAAATAAACGACTGCATGCATTTCCTAAGAGATTAATTCGAAATATCTTCCTGTGTGGCGGATTTTACCAAATCGCAGCGTAGATAGTTAATATAACAATAAAAAGTCCGACATTTTAATTTGTAACGTGTTTGCAAAATTTCAAGTGCTTTTCTAATTCCTGGCAAACAGCCTTGAAATTTGAGCTGGAAATTTCGCTTTAAAGTTGTCATGTGAAAATTAACGTTTATTGGTATAGTTAAAATGTCGGTATTTGCGGCGCAATTCGGTGAGTAATTAGGAGCGTGTTCTCTCGCGGGATTATTTCATGTAAGACCTCGTAAGCTGTTGTAAATAATTTGAGAGGATCGCGTAGGGATTATTTAGATTTTCATAGTAAGACTCTTTTCCTTGGAGTATACTTTCAACTGAACTGGCCAAATGGGAAAAGAAGCGATGCTCTCTTTTATGGATGACCGTTTTAGGAAAAAACATTTTTCTCCTGTGTCTGTGTTTGTCCTTTAAAAGTATCGCGTCTTTATTACCGCCATCGAAAGGCAGAATTGCCTTTTCGCTTGACAAATTATGGACCTACAAGATAACTTCTCAAATTACACCCTACAATGTTATGCTAATTTGTTTTTTAAAATAAACTCAACTTTTTGACGTTCCGAAGTTTCTTTGTTCTAAATTCTTATGATTTAAATTTTATGATTCTTTCTCAATGCCTTTAAAAAGCTAGCATGTCAAAACCGTATTCCACCGAGGATTAAATAATTCGGACGTGAATTTGTTTTAAGCACTGGTAACAGGCACGATTTTCTTTTTATTCTTCGTGGAACATTACAGAATTCATTTGCAACGGCAAGGTCCCTTTTGCGATAACATCCTTTAGTTCTCTGACGTGATTTCGTTTGATATTCAAAAACTCAATTCGAGGAGAAATGAGCGATTTAAGGAGACGGTAAAAACCTCAATTAAGTTTAGTTATAGCTTTTTGGGTTGTCACAGAAGGAAGAACCCGGGCAGTTTTCATGATAGAGGTCTGTAAAACCTGTATCGCCCGCCTACAATTAACAAAGTCATTTACGAGGTTGGGCGTCATTTGAGCATACTGGAGAAATATTAAAACTTCTGTTTCGCGTTTGACAGTTTCCCCATCCTCTAACAGGGCGATTTTAATTCTTAAAACTCATATGTATTCTTTATTGTGCCAAACGAAAATGCGTCAATGTATGAGCTAATTGTAAATGTCAAAGTGTGTAGAAGCTAACGAAAGTAAAATTAACAAACTGAATCATTGGCGTCTAACCGCAGCTCGAGCGTCATTCCACAAAGTACCCGCTCGTAAACAAAGTTTGTGGCATGTTAAATTGATATTTAAATGCGTGCAAACGAATCCTTCGCTTGTAAATCTCCATTTAAGCATTGCCAATTGTCGAATATTCGATATTGATGAATCGCCCCGAGCGAAGTGTCAGCTCAAATCATAATGGTTGAATAGTTGCAGCGCGTAAAAAAGAAATCAGAAGTCAGTTCGCTGACTCACTTTTTACTCTTTATGCCTCTGGCTGTTCGTTAAAGTATATCTTCCAATATATTTTCTCAAAAACGAAGTGGAAAATGTAAAATCAATACCTTTCATTCGAAATGGATACTGGACAATTGCGGTTTAAAATCTACGGGTGGAAATGTTAACAGTTCGACTCTATGAAATAATTATGTTCCATTTCGGGAAAACTTTCGAATTTTTGAAAAAAAAAAAATTAAGATTCCTCGAATGATTTTGTCATGGCCTAGAGAAAGGGTGTTCCTGATGACCTCGGTTTTTTCCGAAAGAAAAGTAATTAATTTCAATTAAATAGAGGCTCCTTGCAAAGCTGAAACTACAAGATTGCTGTTTTGTGCTCTTGATCAAACAAAGGGGCACGGCAAATTGTGCTAATTTGATCGCACCGGGAAATGTGAAAATAGAATTCAGAGATATATTCAAAAAGCATGCTAAAATACCATATTTTCGTCTCTTAAGCTTTTCCCTCGTGCTTGAATGCCGAACAAATGACAACAATATGATCTCGAGTGCCATGATACTTTTCGGTTTCAAGCTCTGAATTAAACCCAAATATACAAAAACATTACGCTTCGAGCAGAAGTCTGTAAACCCAGTTAAATATTATGAATTATGATTTTAAGTAGATCGAGTCACTCGCTTTTTAGTCAATTCAGATATCTTTTTATTTGGAAGAACCAATGGCTTTTCATTGCTAAAGACCTTCGTTAATTTTTCTACAACAATTAGACTGAACATATGTTCTTGAAGTACTTTGTACATCCTTGGTTCCTGAAATACAAACTGTACTTGCCTAACACTAGCAATACAGATACAAAAGAAGATATACGCGATCGATCGTTCTTTCGTGTATTTACGACTCAGGTCAATCTTTCTAACGTCGAATGCATTTTGAAGTAATGATTATCGTGTCTTATCGCGTGGATGTGACAGAGTCGATGCGTTTCACCAAGGATTTAATTAGCCTTATAATGAATTATCCGATTAATGCAGCCATTTTAGACACCTTTTTGTTCCGTAAAACTATTGTACAAAAAAAGTCGTTACCTTCTATAATTTTCTATATATTTACATGTACGTAATTTGCTCTCTTTTAGCAGACGTAGAAATGATCAACGGGGCTTCTTTAACTTGAAGGGGAAAGCGGGCTTTGAGCGCTTTCTGTGACTTGGTGCTGGGCGGCTTTTTTGTCCTTTTTCCATTTGACTCGGCGATTCTGGAACCAGATCTTAACTTGTTTCTCGGATAAATCTAAAAGCGCGGCGATTTGAATCCTGCGCAGGCGGGATAGGTATCTGTTCTGGCTGAATTCCTTTTCAAGCTCCAGTAACTGCATGCTTGTGTATGCTGTGCGAATGCGTTTTGATCTTGAATTTCCTCTGTTCACATTACCCGGCTCCGTGGCGCGGGAAACTGTTGAGCAGAACAAGAAAAAAAAAAAAAAAAAAACGTTAAAAAAGCTTTATCACTAGGCACAATCAAGCATGTGTACAGATAAAAAAGTAAAAATTCAAGATTCAAAGGCTTGAAGTGTGCCACGGTTTAACCAAAACACCTGTCGCCAGATTAGATAATGTGGCTTCTTCGAGTAAAAAGGTATCAAGTTGAGAATAAAAAAATTACAGATAATTACCGTATGACACTAAGCGGAGGCGATCTTCTTCGCTGCTTGCGTAGTGAGGCTGTAAATGAGCATGTTCCGCTTTCAGAAACTCGGCTTTTGAGTACAGACTTGCTGCATCAGGGATGGTCGCTCCGCGGACGTGTAAAAATGGATGGACCGCCGGACTTGTTGGAATACAGAGCTGACATAATCCTGAGGCTTCAGATTGCGAAGGAGTCCAACAGCAAGAGCAGGGAACAGCTGGTTCGAAGCTGTGTCTTGTCTCCGAGATGGAAGCGCTTGAAGGTTTCGGTTTACTGCTCTGGATTAGCGACTCGATGTAGAAAGACGAACTCATGATGTTGACCCGCGCGCGACAAGGAACTCGCTAGTTGTGTCAGTGTCAGCTATAATGAGGCATATATAGTGTTATGCGCACGTGGCCAATGTTGCCAAATTATGTTCACCATTGTGCGAATCATAAAGGAATATCATAAATAATGAACGAATTTTAAAGCTTTAGAAAAACAGTTTAAAGCACGCTTAATTACTGATACAGCCATTCAAAATCAGCCAATGATTACCTAGTTGGGGGCGGGGAATAACAGTGCTTGTTTCACTTCTTCTATCGCAACCAGAAGATTTGCTTCTCCGAAACACAATCATTTGATCGACCAACGCCTTAAATCTAGGCTTAGTAATCCGTTTCACCAATCATCCACCAGCAGAATTAATCACGATAGTGGCCCCATGATGTTCTTTTTAAAACCCGTCTTTTCCCTGTTTCACCTGCGAGCACTTGATGACATTTCTATTTCCAATTGTTAACTATTCACTCGGCCTTTTTGGTGTCAATGTAATTAACTTTTCATCTATGTTCTTGCAAGCACCATTGTGAGAAAGTTTAGTTTGCGCCGACTGACAATCACACATCCTGTATAATAACAAACAGCTCTTTCTTCCAAACGCGAAGATCCGGTTCGTGAATTAAACCCCATATAAGAGGACAAACAACCTCAAATTCATTTATTTTCCGTGGATATTTCCCAGTTTTTCTGCTGCAAAATTATCAATTTCGACCCTCGACTCTTAATGCTTCTAAAAGCGTTACGCGTGCCAAAAGCCGTGCACTTTATCATACTAATCAAGATTGTTTTGAAAATCCCTGCAGTATCATTATCTGTGCACTTATTTGCTTAACAGTCACAAAATAAATTGAATTTTTTCAAATAAAGTCCCCAGGAAAAATAATTGTTTAGCGTGGTTCAATCTTTTTTCTGCTTGAGGGGGAACTTATGGTAGTGTTTTTGGAGTGTCTTAATTTTTTTCGGTCGCCTCTTAAGTAATTCGCCCTTTCACTTTGATGCAAAAAGCTTTCGGGGCGCTCCTTTCCTGCAGTTGTAAATTAAGATTTAAATTGCCAAAATTCTAACTCTCAGAAGACAAATGCTGTTTAATAGATCTAGCAATAATACTTGTGGCAAAATTAAAAAGTCGGACCTGCACCTCGCCTGCGCGAAGTGAATATTAAAAATGAGCTATGAAAACCCAATGGGCAGGCTTAAGCGCTAATCGAAGTAAATACCTTTTGTAAATAAAATTGCTCGCGCTAAATTAGCCCGAGGCTTTTTTGGAATGTTCTGGCCTTGAGCTTTCTGGTGTTTTTCGAAAGTACTAAATCATGCTACATGTGAATCAGGAAAAAGAATACCCCCCCACAAGTTTGCTATACATAGATTGTACAGATATTAATAGCCAAGAACAAATTTGAAAACCGACCGCGCGCTTGTCGTCAACAAGTACGTAAAAGCTTGGCTAATAAATTGTGCTCAAAGACTGCACGCTGTTTAAATATTAAGGAATCAAATAAACTGGCACAGGTTATTAACACACAGTAATTATACAATAGAATACATTTTGCACTATAGACTACTATTAGCTCTTCTATTTCGCTTTACGCGCTCGCATTTTCAGGTCATTTTGCAGTTGTACAACGGCTTTGAAAAGTACAATTGTGGCGTGATGAGTTTCAAAGAAATTTAATTTTGCTCCGTACTCACATCATTAGATTTTGTGTTTACCCATTTAATTACCTTTAATCTCTCCGGAAGGTTCTTTTTCGCGCTAACTACAGAGGAATATGGTATAACCTCGGATTCCTCTTTAAACAGAAGTTTTACAGGAAATTAGCTTAGTTTGTGTAAACAGTATTTTGATGGTGACTCCCGGCTGCAAGTAACATAGAAATTGTCGATAATATCCAATGTAAATACAAGAAAAGGTAATAACCCGTTACTGGAACAAATAAAAAACGTTACTTTTTTAAAGCAAGCCGGACATAGCCTACAAAATGTGAACAGCATTTTCCTTCCCAAGGAAGAGAACGATCACCAAATCATTCTTTTTATTTGTCCTTACTTCCACCCATGATAACAAGATCGCGTAGAAAGTTTTTTTTTAACCCATACTTGCGTAACAGTGGTAAGATTCAGTAACTCTTTGGTTTTGTTTCAGTGATTTTAAGGGTAATTTTCTCTATATCATTGCGGAAATGTCCTGCATTTTCCACGGTTCCATGAAGACTACTCTAAACAGAGAGGGGTAATTAGGTTTTTAAGTGTCCGCGCGCGTGCCGTTCGATCCCCGTGTATGTATAATCTTTTGCTCGCGAATCAAACCAAATCTAGTCTTAGATCTCTGTCAAAAAATAAAAATGTTTTCTTTTGCTAGAACGTTATAATTAGACACAACAGAGTTTAAGCGTGCAGTAGTTAAAGCACGAGTAAATTATCTTAAAGAAAATATCCTTTTTAATGCGTTGAAAACAGTGGGGCTTATTTATATCCCGTAGGGTGATAACAAAATATTTGGAAAAGCTCAACTGCCCAGGAAACTTCTGAATTGACAATGGATCTCTAAAAGACTGATCAAGAAAATTTTAAACTTCCTAGATTGTGGTTTTAGGGCAATTTGTGGTTAAAAGCGAGCCAGCTAAGCGTGGTAATTAGGAGATTGTTTATATCAAGACTAATTTCACGTCAGTAGAAGAAACCTTTGCACTGTCGTCTGAACTACCTGCCGCCCGATTCAGATCCTAATTGAAACGAACGTGTAAACGCACAAGACCAAACCGTTAATTAAAGTTTGTTATTGTGTTATCGGCCCTCAAGAACCACGTTGGAAAGAAAAAAAAGGTTAGAAACGATCGACGCACTTTACGAATAAATTTTGGGAATACTCTCTTGGTGCATCTGTCGCCATTATACCTTAAGCTTTACACTGGGATTTTATCCTTTTTCATTCGCATGGTTACAAACTATCGAATCCTTATTTGGCAGATGTTTTCATTTTGCACCTTTTGAAAGGAATTACTGCTGAAAGTATTCATATATGAAAAAAAGCTATAGAATAACTCAATTAACTGGAGCAATTACGGACACAGCTTGTGAACTTGGTTAATCTACTCCAAAACCGTTTTTTCTTTTCTATTTTTTTTTTATCAAGCGTGCTTTCCTGGGACTCGTAAATAGGGATGTAGCCTTGAAAACGTGATAATTTTGTTTTGTGTTGTTTCCTTGAAAGGTCATATGCCTGCCAAAAAGACAGGTATCATTGTACTTTTAATAAATGAAAGGAACGGTTATTTAGTTGAAAGTTTATAAACGCCAGCTCAATTAAATTCAGAACAGATAGTGGATTTTTATTACTACTGACTCGAGCGTTGCGCACACCTTGCTCATTAGATTAAATTGTTTTTTGTGAATAGCCCTAAAGAATAACTAAAAATTAGCCTAAGTCGGAATTTTAAATGAAGTTTACACGGAGCAAAACTTTATCACAATGATCTTATCCACAAAAAATCATCTAAATCTCAGAGAAGCTAATTCACGTACAGAAATTTAATTGGCGAGTGAGGCAAAATCTCATCTTTTTCATACCATATTTTGACAGGCGTTTTAAAGTTTTGTCCTGTCGGCGAAAAAACAAAGAGAGTAAACAGCGGAAATTTGATTCTCAGTAGTAGCTATCTGGCGTTTAGCAGGTGAAAATAGGTCGGTCGGTTGTTTGTGAAGAAAGCCAGTTACTCAAGCTCATTTCAATTTGTACATTACGATCTGTGAGTGCAAACTCTAAAAGCTTAATGATTTTGGCGTGCTCGGTGAACAATGAGAGGTGCTTAAATTAGTCTCTCAATAAACTACTTAATGTAGTTTTATCAAGAATTTCACCATTTTGGTTCACGAAAACAAGAAAGGGAAGCGATATTAATATTTTACTAAGTGGCGATGAGGCTAAATTCACAAATACTAGCGGAATTAAAACTTTATCATATTTCTTCGAGGGTGGGATAAAAAAAACTTGTGAAATTCCATGCTATCCCTCTAAAATTTGTTTCGAAGTGAGGTGAGATTGGTGCAAATTTTTTGAATGGATTGTAAATCTGTGAAGAAACGAATTTTAAGTATCTTTTATGATCAAGTTTACTTCAACGAAAAATGCCTTAAAAATTAATGAGGAAAAGTTGAGAACTGATTAGAGACGAAGCTAGTAGAGAATCAGACTAAGAAATTAGCCAAAGAAATTAAATGATGAAGTCAAGAAATTTGCTTTCCCAACTCACAAAGGATAACAGTTACAAATCATAGTTGAAGTGCATACTGCCGAATATCAATTTTGAGATCATCGAGAAAATTGCGGCTTAAAAACTCTGAACGCTTTTAGTTGTAGAATTTATGTCGCAACAAATGAATGCAGCAAATACAGAATAATCAGGCATTCAAGACAAGAATGACTAATTTTTATCATCTTTTCTACTGAGAAGAATAACCTTACTTAATAAGCGTTAGAAAACAACTTGCAATTCTGTAATGAGATTTCGACTGTCATGATTTGAACCAAATTGTTATCCTACAGTTAAAATTTCACAGCTTTCATCATAAATTTCACAGTGGGGAAATTCGCCTCAGTTTCTAGAATATCAAAGCAACGTAATGTTCAGTCGAACTGGAAACATGTTCGAGTCACTAAAAAACAAGTTCAATTTTACAACTGTCGGTGTAGCATTTTGCATCGCGAAATTTTAGCCATGATGAGCTGTCTGATGTGAGGTTTGACTTTGTTTTAAGAAGGGTTGACCCCTGAAATATTAAGCAATTTTAATTCGAACTTCTCCCAAGAAGGAGAGAATAAATTCACTTAAACGTTTAGGGAACAGAGGAACTTGTGACAAATGAATTTTCGAAATATTATTACTGCAATGAGATTAATTCGGCAGAACACGAGCGCTAAATTTGTCGAAGAAACAACGGTTATTTTTTAGTAAAATGAAGGGGCTTGAAAGACAAAATTTTATCGCAAAAAGAAAATAACTTGTATCAAAGATTACGCGGTGACAGGGAAAAAGCGAAACTGTACTGTGGTATTGAATAGAAAAATAAAACATTGCTTTCGCGCAAAAGCAACTAAACCTGTACACATGACGCAATAACTGATCTCATGTACCTCGAACAAACACGAAATGAAAACAGGAAGAGGTCGGAAGGAAGGAAGGAAGGAAGGAAGGAAGGAAGAAAAGACAGAGCAAAGATATGTAAAAATAAAACACGTTAGGTAATAACTTGATTATATACAAAGTGAACAAGGAGATGGATTCAGAAAAGCGGTGGTTAAAGCATG